AGGAGCCCCTAGTAGCGTCCTTGCTCCTACCTTAAGCATCAATTGATCAGTCAAATCCATCAAATCAACCGGTTCTTCCTCGCAATGCCTTTTTGTTGATCTCGTCGCATTGTCTTGCTCCGTCGAGGTGGATGATCTCTATAAGACAGCCATCAAGCGAAGCGAAGAGCAGTTAGGAGCCGCTGTTGGCGCGCGCCGCAGTTGGCATTTTGAGGAAACGGTGGTTGGAGAGAGGTTGTTCTGTTGATTATATAAGGGGTACACATTGAGGAAGCCAGCCAAAGCAGAATGCAGAAGGATGCAGAAACGATCTTCAGAAATTCGATGGTTTGATCTTGCTCTTCTCTTTGGCGCCTCTGATCATTAGACAATAGAAAAAGGGTTGCGCCCCGTGGCAAAATCATCAGTGCTACATCGCAGGAGCGACCCACCCGTCCACCTTGTCGCTGCTGAGTCGCTTGGCGGTGCTCTTAGAGGACGGCATACCATGCCAGCCGTGGTTGAAAGTTGGGGTCCCGAGTCGCCTTTTCTTCCGCAGGAGCAAGGCAAAAACGCTGAAGCGGAGTTCTTGCAGAGGAGTGGGTTATCTCCGAGACACTCTCGACTGACTTGCTGAACCCGCAGCGCAGTTCGGGCATCGAAAACAAAGGAAATAGAATTTTGGCACTTCCGTGGGCGAGCAAAGGAGTTGATTCTGGGAAGCGCAATGATCGAAATCGTTTTGTGAATGTGGGGAAACGACCTTGGACTCCATCCAGACGTTTTGAGTTGCTTTTCTCCAGCCAGGCAAGCGCTTCGTGGCCGTGAGCCACTTGGATGGCGAAAGATGGTGAAAGTAAGAATGCTACTAGTAGTGATGCCAGGAGCCCCTAGTAGCGTCCTTGCTCCTAGTACTAAGGCCAGGAGCCCCTAGTAGCTTTTTGTTTCAGTGACTCAGTGAGCGAAGTCTCTAGAGGAGTTCTTTCTGAGGGGCGACAACGTCCAAGGGCTTGTAAAGGGAGCCAGAGGTGGTACGAGACGGTATGAGGACCTTCAAGGTAGAAGTTAACTTGCCGCGGTAAGGGGTAGTCATGGGGCTAGTCACGCGTTTTCGACGTTCCCTTCTTTCTGCAGGCATAAGCAGGCCGAGATATAGCAAGCACTTGCCTCTTTTTCTCACTCAATGTGGCACTGTTTTGTGCCTCAAGAGAATGGAATACTGGGATAGGCCTACCCAAATGACCCTTGTTGCCCTAGAACTCTCATATATGACCTCCTTCCATCACCGGTCTTGATCTCATGAATCTATCCCTGCCCGACTCTTCCAAGACCAATCCGGGGCCTTCCTTCAGGTTTGCAGGTCTTGTTTCGTCTTCGCAAGCGACGTGGCTAAGGAAAGTCTTGGGCCCCTCACACCCGGAGACCTTAGTCTCGAGCTCCCATGTGGGCTACTTGTGCGTCTTGCGGGGAAGTCTTCCGGAGGCCCCGTGCCTAAAACGTGTGGGACGAGTTCTTTAGGGAACGAATGCTGGGACTGTACCTCTTCCTTATAGGAAAATGTTGGACTCAGAAGTATTTTGCGGGATTGCTACTCAGTGCTGTGTGCTCATCTTAAATGGAACTCATGCGGAGCCTTGGTTGCCATTGCACCGAATTAGGAACAAGAGGAGCCAATATGAGTATCACACGATCAACTCTCGTAGGATGGAGACAACATGATGGCTTAGAATCAGAGGGGATGTTCAACACTAGAGTCCCAAAAGCCTTTTGGGTACTGGTTTTGAAAGCAGTGCGATCACTCCCTTCATCCTCCTTTTAGCTCGAGTAAGGCTGGTTGTGCTCAGTAATTTGTCCCTGAGTCCTTGACCTGTACCAAAACCAAAACCTGTTCAAAGAAAGCAGAGGGTGGCCTTCTTTCCTTTCTTGGTAGCATCTTCGGGTCTTCTAAGTGAGAACTTGTTCGTTTCTTCTAAGTGTGAGGAACGTTTTTTAACAAATTCCGCAATCAACGGCTTTGCTGCTAAATACCGAGACGTTTCCACTTCGGGGGGCTTTTCACAGTCATCCAAACAGCAGGTGGAACTATATAAAGAAGCTTCTGTACGTTAACAAACATTGACATACATCACCACCAGCCCACCACCATCAGAAGCATCCGAAGTCGCCCCACCCACGCGCCTCCGGAGGCACAGAAGCTCTTGCAGCGAGCTTTGAGAGGTCTGGAGGAACAGCTGGATGGATCCCATTTGCAGACGCTCCTGGCGGCGCCTTGGATCTGACCAACGCTGAGAGAGAGAGGAAGATCTTTGGACGCCTTGATGGGGAGTTTTTGTGTTTGAAAAGATGGGAAAGATCATCAAAGTGCTTTTGTATTCTGTATTCTGTGGAATTCTATATGATCTATCCGGGCATCCTACGCTGACGTGGGTGGGAAGTTCCTGAAAAGTACCCCTTCAGGCTCTTGGTGTCTGTCCCATGAAATATCAGTTGCTTCGATTCAATCAGAACCCCTCACCACCCCTGTCGCGCGAATACCACTGACTGACTGACTGACAAACAAACAACGCACGCCCGGCTCCTGCCCCGCAAGGTGGACCACATGGGCTGCTTGTTGGTGGCGCAAAACCGCCTTGGAGAGGCCGAGAAGTTCTTCAAGCGTGCCTTGCGAGGCGGGGCCTTAGCGCTGGTTGGGCGTGTCGCCGGGTTGGACTTGCTCTTTCCAACCCGTTTTGTAAAAACACCGAGATCGGGCCCACGAGGTGTTCGCCCCAGTTGTCCGTGGCTACAGGTCGCGAGAAGCAGCTGGGCGCCAGCCATGCGGACACCATCGTCTCGCTGCAGCACCTGGCGAGCTTCACACAGGACGAAGTAACGAAGGAATCGCGAAGCAAAGGGTGCTTTCATCACATGGTTCATAATGAAAAATTGGACATTGCTTGCTTGCTTTTTCGCATTTGCCTTTGCTCATGACTCAACGGTGCCGACGGTGCCAGGAGCACAGCCGCGAACGTGGCCACACGGCCGAGGCCGAGGAGCTTTGGCGCCGCTCCAGTGGAACCGGCGGAGCAGCTGGGCCCCGTGGGCTCCGTGCAGCAGCGGGCTTGGCAAAGAATTTGTCTCTCGGAGCTCGAGGCCTTTGGTTCAAAGGATTGGGCGAAGGCGAAGGCGGAAAGACGATGATGTCCATTCGGTAAAGGCTTTAGAGATTTGTTCAACCGGTCTAGATGCTTCACTTGGGGTGCATCTGAAAGAGCGAATTCCCAAGCATTTGCTACTGTTCCTCCTTTCAAGAAAACTTGTGTTTCGCCGATTCGCCCTGTTTGCAATACCGCGTCTCCTCCCTCACATGTTAGCTGCTTTGCCCTAGTTCGTTTGTTCTTATGGTGATTTCGCGCAATTACGCGACCAACCCACAACTCCTAGCTTTTGACCTTCTACTATCCCTAGTGGCGATGGCCTCCAACCTACTAGCGGCGGCCTCCAACCTTGTAACCTTTTGATACCAAAACCGCAAAGGCGATAAAAATTCAGACATCGAAGAGATTCGACAGCCGATTCTGCCCTTCAAAGCTTGGCTGAGGCTCGAGCAGAGCTGTTTCCCGGAGGCTGTAGAAGCCATCGAAGGCTCTGTGAAAAAACTGCAGGAGTGGCCGGGTGGTGTGTGTCCGAGTAGGTGAACTGGTGATACCAAGCCGGGCTGGGCTAGGCATGAAGGAGACGTAGCAACGGATCTTGGTGGAAAAAGTGGGTTGTCCCATGTCGGAGTAAGTTGAGATGATCACCAAGTCGGCCCTCACCTTTTCTTTCACCAACGCGTCAGTGCGCAGGAGCAAGGCCACCTCGAAGAGGCGGAGCAGCTGCTGCGGCGCACCGTGGAGGAAACGGCGAAGCAGCTCGGTGCGCAGCACCCGGTGACCTTGCACCTGGGCTGAACGATGCACGGCGCGCCGTACACGGCCAGATTGAAGAAAAAAGATGAAGCACAAGGCAATGAAGAAAACAATAAATTACAGAAAGACATTGAAGAACATGTGACAGTCTTCCACAGTCTTAGTGTTCACATGTCTTCACTATAGTGGGGCCCGGTGCACGAGTCCATCACAGGAGCTATCAGTTGGAGCTCTCAGACGTGCTCCGCGCGCGGGCGAAGCCTGAAGCGAAGGAGATGATGCGCTCCACGGTGAAAGGCGAGCGCAAAGGGATTCCCATTTTGGGGATGGCACTGAGGGGGGCACCATCCCAAGAAGAAGAGATATATGTTTTAGATTTAGACTCACTTTTTAGAAAAGGATTATTGAAGCGGATGCAGAGAGCCCGGGTGTGATAAGGTGTTTGTTCGTTTAGAGATGTTGATTTATGTTGATTTATCTTTCAGGACCAGGATTTGTGCTCTAAACGTGGGTTACTGATGGGCTGCCCAACCATTCTAACCCGCTCGAATCAAGTTGCACCACTTCGTTTCAACTGCTGACAAGCAGGGCAAGTGATGTGAGTACTGACTGGTTGTCGCCCATTGGTTCGATCTCCGACTTGTCTTGGCAAATTGAGCAAGCAACGGGTGAAATGCTTCTGACCTCGTGGAATTCCCATTAATTCCCGCCCCACATTCCCGCACCGCCCTGATCGTGCACCGCCATCAGCACTCCACGCTCCCACTCGCTCTCCTTCGGTGTCCATTTGATAACTTGTTCAAAAATAAAACACATAAATAAATATAGACATGCTAGTTTAAAAGGAAAAGGTTTCTATAAAGACGACACATGTTTAAAACGATATGCATATAGAATCTCCTTCGGTCTCCAGGTCGTCAGGAGCAGCTGGGAAGGCATGTGGAGACGCTACGCGCCGAGCGGCGCCTGGCAGCACTCTTGAAGCGCCAGGCCACCGCGACGGCGACGGCCGGGTTGGGCTGACGTTTAGAAACGAAGCCAAACGAAGGGTTGCAGTGCAGTGTTTTTTGCGGCTGAAAGGCACCCTGTTGGGATTAAAATCATTTTTGGGACGTTTGGAAGGTTTTGGAAATGTTGGGTGAGTTCGATGGAGTTCAATGGATTTCCTCTACACATGGTCATCTTTGGGGTAAAGTAGGTAGATATTGACCATAGGAGCAAAGAACGCTACTAGGGGCTCCTGGCCCCTACTACTAGGAGCAAGAAGCTACCAGTAACAAAGGGCATCGCTACGAACGGAGCAAGGATGCTACAGGATGCTACATGTTTGACCTACTTTGTTTATTCCGTAGCTTGAGCTGCCACAGGCGGAGCCCGAGGCGGAGCAGCTCCTCAAGACGGCCTTGGAAGGCCGAAGTTCCAAGTGAGATTGGAACGTTTGTGTAGCCCAAACTGGAGCCAAACGGCCAGGAGCAAGGACGCCACGTTCGGGGCTCCTGGCATCGCTACTAGGAGCAAGGACGCTACTACTTTTCCTGAAAAAATAAACCATGTGCCGGAGGTGTTGTTCCCCGGTGGGTTCACCTGTATATTTCTCATCAAGAACATCAGGTGAGTTGGCGTACTCTCCGTCCCTTTGTTTGGTCTTTCCGCTTGGTCGTCCTGAACAATACTCGCCAGGCTACGAGGCATTAGACCCCTCTTCAGAGGAGTTGGAGGCGGGACCAAGCAAGATAGGTGAACCTGTTCATGAAGCCCATGTTCCATGTTTTCCTCCTACTAGCAAAGGGAGTTTAAGAGTAGTGGCCTCCAACCTAGAAGCGATGGCCTCCAACCTAGAACCTAAAGATGGCTCCAAAATCATGGATTGATGTTTTAACTTCTCAAGTTTTGTCCCGTAGTTCTTCAGGTCGCGGAGGAGTTGGCAGAGCTGCTCTTCACCAAGGCGAAGTATGCCGCAGCCGAGGAGCTTCGCACGGTACCGGGACAGTTATGCTTCACTTCAATGTCAATGCGCCAATTTGAAAGTTTCAGACAAAGCCCTTTCCCAAGCCCGGTTTCAGACAAAGCCCTTTCCCAAACCCACTTGGAACATCAAACATGTCAGACACCAAGCTACAGCAAGACTGCGTTCGCTGCGTTCGCTGCATTCTCGTTGGGAATTCTCAAAAGACCATGGGAAGAACACCACCATTAAAACACCGTGAAAACACACCGTGACATCCCCACCAGGAGCTCTTCCGCCGCTGCCTCCACGAGGCGCACGCGGAGCGCGCGGAGCGCCTGCGGCGGCAGCTGGTCACGGTGCTCCGCTGCCAGGGACGACTCGGAGAGGCGGCGGACGGTTTGGGCGGTGGAAGGTTAGGTTCCCAGATTCCGGACAATGTCGTATTGAGAAAAGAATCAAATTGATCAAGCAAGGGTTGGCAAGGGTGTTCTCTCTTGGGAGAGAAGTGCTCCATGTCAGTCCTGTAGGGCAGCTTGCCTGGGAAGCAGCAACACGGGCTGCACTCTTGATCCTCCGGATCGTGGGAAGTCCGACAAGCCGTTGAACACAAACCCAGAAGATGTCGACGTCAGTTCTTTTAACAAAAGTAGTACATATACATATATATATATAGTAGTCATTGCCATAGTCTAGATGAGAGAGAGAGAGAGAGAAAAATGGAAAAAGATTGAGATGAGTTCACTGAGTTCAGAAGATTGGTCCATCGCCATCGCATCGCAGGCGGAGGACTTGGCACGGGAGCTCGGCACCAAGGCCGGCGATCTCAGCTTGTTGGCCTTAATCCTCGAGGACCGCCTCTCGCGCGCGGTCCTTCGGCACCGAGCAGCTGGCTTGCGGGGTTGCTTGGCCTGTGGGTCACGTGAGCTGATCTGAAGTTGTGTCAACTCAAACGTGTTAATCATTAATGCATATTGTACCTACTAGCGATGGCCTTCAACCTAAAGAAACTGCCAGGACCAAGAGAAGATGGAGGAAGCTGAAAGCCTCCATCGTCAAGCCCTGCAGGTGAGAGCTCCGCAACATCGATGAGCGAAGCGACATGCGACGCGCAACGGGATGATCGCCTCGTTATTCGATCTGGATGGATGCGAAATGCTTTGAAACGCATATATATGATCCACAAATGATTCCAGATCCTCCAAGACCAAAATATGCGGTTCTTGGATTGAAACACCACCCACATCCACATACACCACCCATCAGGTCTGTCCACCTGTGTCGGCTGTTCCATCGGTGCGACTCGCAGGAACGAGAGAAGCAGCTTTGTGCCACACATCCCTGGACCCTTTTGTGCTACAGCCGTTTGGCGGCGACTCTGCATGCGCGTGGCAAGCTTCCGGAGGCGAGTGGAGCAAGTGAGGGGGGGGTAGAAGGTTGGCCATAGAATGGGATATAATAGGATTCGTGGGTTTGCTTCACAGTCCCGCGGATCATCTGGAGACCTGTGAGCCTTTAGTAACCTTCTTGCCCATGTTCGTCAAGCTTTTCCCACATCCTAGCTTTGTGTTGTTTGGGCTCGAAGCTTCATTTCGGCTTCCAAGCTTTTCACACCCGAGGCATGTCCCTCAGAAGGTTGCTCCCAAGATGATCGTTGAAGTGCATCGATCTAGAAGTTGAAAGGTCTTTTGGTTTTGGACACCGCTACCGCTTCCTACAAGCAAGAACCGACAAACTACTCATCTCCAAGAGACGTTGGTTTCAGCCGCCACTCCGACAGGCGGAGGACTTCTGCCGACGAGCCTTGGCCGGGAGCGAGGTGGAGCTGAATCAGACGGAGACCTTGCACTACATCAACAGGCGCCGACAGTCCTCTGGAAGGGCTTCAGGTCGCCTCGTTGAAAAAAAGGTCCGCGTCGTTTGGCCAAGGGAATCGAATGATAATTTTGTTCGTTTTTGGTAGTTGCTGAAACTCACCAGCAAAACAACCAATTTGACCACTTCTTCGCATGTCGCCTTGCTGTGGAGGTTGGCAAAGGTGCTGCAGGCCCAGGGCCATATGCAAGAGGCTGAGGAGCTCCAGCAAAGGATGATGCCTGGCTTGATTTATGTGGAGTCTTCGGCACTTTTGTGCCTGGTGAAGGGAAACGGAAGGTGGAGTGGAAAGGTTGTCTTTCGAAGAGTGCGATGGAAAAAAAAGAAAACGTTTACAATATGAGGCTGCCGCAGTGCTCCGGGAGGATGAAGAAGATCTGTGGAGAGAGTGAGAAGCTCACACCCAGGGTGTTGGGAGAGAAAGCATCAAAAGGCCGTATGTGCGTGTGTATTTGGGAACTTTCTTCTCAACTCAGTTGGCAATGTAAGAGAAGGACACCCCTATAGAAGATCCAGCATCGGTCATTCCCTGTTTACATGTCCACTTGAGTTGGGATACATTCATGAGGCAGGTCTCAGTCCACTCGTTCCAAGGATCCATCGGTCTATCCGATTCTATTCCGGACCGAGCAGAGGTCGAAACGGTCCGTTCGACTGAGAATGCAAGATAGCACCTTGACCTCCTTGAGCACCTTGGCGATATTTCAGCTGTCGCTGTGAACGGATGGATGAAAAGGTGAAAAGGGATGTTGTATTTATATAATCGATGTGTCTCATGGGGTAAAGGAATTGCTTCTCATAGACCTGCAGTTTTGGGACATCTGAAGCCCTTGCAGAAACCCCTTACCTTTCCATCAGACAGACCTCCTCAAACCAATCTCAGTTCAAGCTTTGCAGCCGTGCGAAGCCATCACCGAATCGGCCGGTCAATTTGTCATGTTCTACGATTCTTGTGAGGATTCTTCATGTTTCAGAAAACAGGCGGAACCACAAAGGGTCACAACATTAAGCACTTAATTGAAGAGTCATGAAATGCGTTGCAGCCCGCAAGAAGTTGTTCCTTGCGCCGCTAACCAAGGTCACTTGGGCAGCTTGCTCCACGAGCGCGGGAAGCTGCAAGAAGCGGAGGATCTACTTCGGCGGGTGCTCAGTCAGGGACCCAGCGCCAGGAGATCAAGCAGTGGAGCTCCATTCCGCTTAGTAGGTCACGTTGAACCTGTCGCGGGGGCTGCCGGGGGGGCTTTTTGATGAGGACTGGTTCGTCTCCAGGTTCTTCGAGACGGTTTCACTCAAAGAAGGAGCCATAAAGTTTCTTTCTGACTGAGGACATTAAACCAACCCAAACTCACAAGGGCTCAGCTCGTGTTTGTGACTACGGGCTGGAGAGCAGGGTTGCACCAAGAAAGAGCAAGAAGGATGATCGCAGGCCTTTCCGGCAAAGCACCTATGTTTGTCTCCTGAACTGGCACACAAAAATACCACCCCGACCGACCTCCAAAATAGAAACCTTTCACTCCTGCCCCAAATCTTAGTCATTTGTCTAAAGAGGGAAACAAACAAAAACGCTGCCTTGACGATCCCACGAAGTTGTTTTTCTTCCGAAGCATCTTAGCCGGGATCGTATGAGGCGAGCGGGAAGAGATGGAGCCGTTGCATTTGGACACCTTGTCCTCGAGTTGCGCCCTGGCTGCGGTGCTGCGGGATGCTGGCAAGACCCAGGCGTGGGCAGTCCTGAAGTGGTGCCTGTTTGTTGCTTTTCTTATAAAGCTTGAAGCCTAGTGGAAATACGTGTTGTTGTGGACCTTAATAGATGCTTGAGGAACCGAGAAATGGACCTACTAAGCACTCTAAGCATTGTATTTAGGTATAGGTATAGGTTTGGGTGAGGTGAGGTGAGGTGGTGCTGTGCCGAAGGACGTGGAATAGAAGGGCTTGATGGTCTTAACGAAAGATTTGATTGTGAGACATCTACGTAGGGCACTGTATGCTTCTTTTGAGGTCTCTTCAATCTTGAAGTGTGTTGTAGAGAAGCGAAAAGAACACCGCATGCTTCCAGCTGCGAACCCAGCACCCTGCAGGAGGCAGAAGAGCTTTACAAAAGTGCGTTGGAAGGCGTCCGCCTCGGAGCTTTCCGTCGGGCGGCAGAGGTGATTTCAAAGGGCGCAATATGACGATGATGGCGATCGGATGCTATCAGTTATCACTCCCAACACGTCCAACCAGATTGAGGTCGTTCATGCGCAAGTGGAGAGGAAGCATGAGGCCATTCCACGACTGGTCCATCTCCAAGAACTACCTTTGTCTCAATGTCATCAACGCAGTGTGGTAGGTGACATTCCCAGCTTTACAACACAATACCGGCAATAACACCAAAGAGCCGTGTAAAAGAAAAAGAGACCGGTCGTGTGTGTGGTGTCAGGTGGGTCTTTTTGGTCGATTCTTCAGTTCTCCCAGAGTGACTGCTGACCAACTCCAGAGGTGGTCTTTTCTTGTTTGGTCCTTTTCGGCTGGTGGGAGGTCTACAATTTTCCGCAAAACCAGACCTTGGCAACCCACAGAAGGCTTGAGAGGAACAGCAACTTCGTTGACCTGGCGAAAACACGTGTACAGCGTAGCCTTTGGTCGTGTGGCCCTTCTATTTTCGTCGTGTCCAACCAGGCTATGAGAAGCTGGACCCCTATTATGTGGAGACGCTCCAGACAGCGACGGCCTTGGCCATGATGCGCCAGAACATCCTGGGGAAACCGCGCAAAGCGGAGGAGACGCTTCCTTTGTTACCAGTAGCTTCTTGTTACTACCAGTAAGGCACCTGTTACTACTAGTAAGGCACTTGTTTCTAATAGCTTCTTGTTACTACTAGTAAGGCACTTGTTACTAGAAGCGATGCACTTGTTACTACTAGCTATTGATGTCCTTCTTCCCTGTGTGGTTTGTTGTGGTGTGACTATATGCTAGAAACAGAAGCCACTGGGCGATGAAGCGTTCTCACAATGACAGTTCGGAGCCCTGGGGAAAGCAAACGCAACACCAAGCAGGTCCTGTTAACGGTTAACAAGACAAGTTTGTCAAGACGGGACCATGTTGATCTTGTACAGCGGGCACCTTCAGCTCTCACCTCACAGCTCGTTCGGTCATTCTTCGCAGGAGCTGTTCCGGCGCGTGCTCGAGCGCCGGGAAGAACAGCTGGGCCGAAACCACCTGCAGAGCCTCACGGCTGCACGGCACCTGGCGAAGTGTTTGCGACTGCAGCAGAAGTTCTCCGAAGCCGAGGATGAGGGACGTGGACGTGCGGTTGACCCGAGAAGCCTGAAGAAGGGCATCGGAAGATGTTTCTTTTGGACAAAGTCGAAGAAACAATCGTTGGTTTGGTCAACATGTTTGGGAATTTTGGGTGTGAATGTTCAAAAAGACGGAGATTGGGAGGTTTAGGCCTCCAAAGCTGACCGTCCTTCAAGTTGTCTCCACCCGTCAAGCAGATGTGTGTGACATCCTGGTCGAAGCTCCATCACTCCACTCCAATCCCAGAAGGAGCCCCTAGTAGCGTCCTAAAACCCAAGATTGTCATTGTAAAAAGAACGGTCGGATCGTCTGGTGAGTAGTCTGAGTTTGACTCCGCCGATCCGATGAATCTCCCTCCACGTAGTTGTCGCTCCCTTTTTCCCGCCAGGACCTCCAATGGCGAGCCATGGAGGGCTACGAAGAGCACCTGGGGAAGTCCCACCCAGCTACTCGGTGTGAGCCACAAGCAACGTGCATCTCCCAGTGGTTCCCAAACCTGCTGATGTCACGGTTCTTCTCGTTGTAAGATCACAACACTGAGTTATAGGTCTGCGGTACAAAGCAACAATCACTGGCCCCCGCGTTTGCCGATTGGACCAAATGCTTTGGTCGAAGCAGTATTTGCAGAATTGACACGTGTTGAAATGTCCAAACTAAAGGTTGTGGTGGACCGGCAAGAAATCGCTTTGAGCCCTTGTGCCAAGAACAACTTGCGTTGAGGATTAAGGTATGCCAGTAGTTCTGTCAAATCTAAACCAATGCACCTTGTTGCTAGTGGCGATGCCCTTTGCTCCTAGTAGTTTCTTGTTCCTAGTAGTAAGGCCAGGAGCCCCTAGTAGCCATGCCCTTTGCTCCTAGTAGCGTCCCACCTCTCCCAAGGAGACCTTGAGAGTCACCAGCGACTTGGCAGCTTTGCTGCAGGACACCCCGAGCCGACACTGCGCCTCGAGCGACGCCGCGACCGGACTCGTCGGCAGGAGTTGAACGACCTGAACGAGGCCGAGCGACTGCAGCGCTGGGTCTACGAGGAGCGCCAAACGGTGCTGGGCCCCGACCATGCGGAGACGTGCCTTGGGCTTCTAATAGCTTCTTGTTACTACTAGTAAGGCACCTGTTACTACTAGTAAGGCACTTGTTACTAGCAGCGATGCACTTGTTTCTAATAGCTTCTTGTTACTACTATGCGGAGACGTGACTTTGGCTTTCGCAGACGCTGGCGGATCTCCCGGTAAAAAAACGTGGGGCCACTGTGGACCGGCAAGCACAACAGCTGGTGTCGGGTTCGCAACAGGTTGAATCAGGTCGAGTGCGAATCACGTTTGACTTTCGTGAGGCCTGTGGTTTGTTCAGATGCGTTCTTGTTGTTCTTTTGACCTCTAGGTTTTGTCTTACTTCTTCCTTTCTTCTTTATTTTCAATATGTTGTTTTTAGTCCCTAAGTGAGTGGATAGTGGGCACCCCTATCCTCCATTAGGCCCCCCTTTGTGACTCCTGGTAGCAACGGAAGAAAACGACTTCAGGCTCAGCAGCTGCTATGCCTTGGGAGCTCTCTTGGAGACCAAAGGCGCCGATGCCGACGAGGTCGAAGAGCTCCTGCGAAAGGCCTTGGAAGGCGCGCTCCGCGCCACCGGTGTGCGCCACTGGGGTTGGAACTCTCAGACCGATGGTGGAAAATGGTCTGGTAAAATTGATGGCTATGACATGATGCTGAAAAGCAGGACCTTGACCCTCGAGCAAAAGATTTGAAGAAACGGATGGTTAGCAGGGTGGCAGGGTATCACTGTCATCCCTCTGCAAGGCCGACAGAAGCAGCTGGGCCCGGTGCATGCAGAGGCCATGGAATCGGATTTCAGGGCCTATAGGGCTACGGTGATCAGAAACCACCACGGTTCCAGATCAAATCCTGTGTCTTAGGGAAACGAAACACCTGTTGTTCAAGCCCTGATCAGTGCTTGGTGAGCTTTGAATAGCCAGTCCGGTGTCAGACTCATTCCGTTTTCGCCATCGGCACTTCGAAGCACTTGGTGTCATGGGGCCGTATGGGAGCCTGGTCAGTTCCACCAGCATAGAGATAGGAAGCCAATAGGAACGCATGAATAGACTTCGAGAGGTCACGAATCAGCTTCCGTGAAGCCAAGAGGATAGAGTGATTTCTTTAGGATTCCATCTCCGGAATGCCAATGCAAGCTTAGGATTTTGAGACCGTCAAGAATCAATGACTACATATATCTGAACGACTGCGTCCGAGAGAACAGCAAAACCGGATCCTAGCCATCCCGGGCACAGGTGTTGGAGGTCATCAGCCGCCTGGCCAACTTCTTGGAGAAGCTCGGAGAGGTCACCGAGGTGGAGTGTGGACGACCGGTCAAAGCCCGACCGGAGGGTCGGTCCTTAAGCGGTGTTAGCTTCTGGAGCGTGCGTGGAGGGTGTTGGCTTTGCGTTTCTGGATGTTTCTGGTAAGAAACAATGTAGAATGCCTATGCTCAGCAGGAATGAACACGCGCTGATGTAGAATGTGTGGTGGGTTTGCGCTTGTGTGGTCCGAGAGGAGTTGTTGTTCCTTCGGACTTGAATTTTTGACACACAACGCAAAGCAAGACATCAGACATCAATGCCAGTGGAACTCCGGGACCACTTGTTGATGTTCAAACCGGACATGTTCCACTTTGCGTTCTTACAGCTTTGGTCTTTGCTCTTTGCTTTAGCCCCAATGTCAGGCACAAAAGCTCTACATTCAAGAGCTGCAGGCCATGGAGGTGCGACAGAAGTGGCGCTCGAAAGATGCTGTTGTTTCTAATAGCTTCTAGGAACAAGTGCCTTACTACTAGTAACAAGTGCCTTACTACTAGTAACAAGAAGCTGTTAGAATTAAAATAACTTAGATTAACTAGTAGCTTCTTGTTACTACTAGTAAGGCACTTGTTACTAGTAGCGATGCACTTGTTACTAGTAGCTTACAAAGATGTTGTTTCTTCTTCGGTAGGTTTTGGCACCGGATGACCTTGATCTCGCAGGTGAAAAGTACAAGCAACTGCAACCATCCCAAACGTGACCTCAACAGCCATCGCCCTGACTCCAAACATGAAACTCATCTGAATCCTATAGTTTCCTTAAGGACCTGACAGACCCTCGGCTGGGATTCCGACCCGCTGCTCTTCTGAGTCGCCGAAAGCGGAGCTCTTCGCGGTCGCCAGGAGCTTTTCGGTGTTGGACACAAGAGGACTCAGCAGAGTCGACGGAAGCTGGAGGACTTCTTGAGGCAACGGATGGGGGGGATAGAGGAAGACATTTAAGCGATGGCCTCCAACCTAAGAGCAACAGAGTTTTGTATATAGGTGTGTTATGGTTTGTTTAATCCGGTCGCTGCTGAGGGTGATGTCTATTTCCCCTGTATGAGGGAATCCCCTTTTTTGTGGATTTTGGGTCCGGATCCGCAAGTTCAAGTTAAGGTAAGTTTAGAAGCGGTCTCACGGAATCAAGACTTAGCTCGGCGAGCCGGCAGCTGTTCGTGTCTTTTTGCACAAGCCTCCAGCTCCGTTGCCAGAAACATTCGGGAGTCCTTTCCGGAGGAGGCGGAAACTGAGGCACCGCGGGGTGGTGAGGCATTGCGGAAGGCTATATCCTGGGAAGATCACTCATGAATTGACCCAAAAACGCACTTGGGATTGCGAGTTGCTTGATCTGAGCTGAAGGATGGCCCTCATCAGGGACCATGAAGTCGTTTCTTTCAGGCGAAAGGATTGAGTGCTACACAGTGGCACACAGAAAGCCCAACCTTTAGAATCGTCAGATCGCTGAAGTTACTCATGGTGGAAGAAATCTAGACCTCCATGTTTCACATCAGTTCGCCTGTTTCTCGTTTACCAACCTCTGGCAACCCTTTTGACATGAAGCCAAGAGGCAGGGCCAATGCAATCCTCTCGCTTCCGGAGTTTTGTCATAGTGCTGCTGCTCCACACAAAGTACATTACATGTTGGATCGAAAGCCTATGGTTTTGCCAAGAATTCTAGACCACCGCCCCCGAGCCGCCAAGCCATGTTTTTTGCTCCGCCTTTTCATGTCGCTCCAGGTGGTCAGTCGAACCAACAGCCGGACCAGCCGCGCCAACTCCGATGGCGCCAGTCGATCGAACTCGGTGCCCGATTCGGTGGGAGAGCTCAGATGAACTTTCGGTGGGAGAAACAGGGGGGAAAGAATGGGTTGTTTGTGATTTATTTTTCTGGGTAGTAACAAGTGCATCGCTAGTAGTAACAGGGGCCTTACTAGTAGTAACAAGAAGCTATTAGAAACAAGTGCCTTACTA